AGAGGATTGTTTGCACTGCCACCTTGGAGTAGTCAGAATAGAGGTGAACATGAAAGCGACATGTAATCAACACAGCCAGGGCCAGGGTTTGGGTTTTGGTCAGATCCAGGTTGTTCCCCAAAAGGATCCCTTAGTCTACTGACAATGTCCATCTTGCAAACATACCCAACCTCTGCTGGCAATAGAGATTGTCACCGAAGCCGACATGTGGGCAAGACTCTCTGCGACATGCCGCACACAGTCCTGCAATGGAGAATACCCCTGCAGGGACGAAGTTTTGGAAGCGAACATGATCAGCAATCCGAACTGGCAGCTTGTCCAACACAGTGAGCAGCGATATAGCAGATTGTATCGAAGCCCCCTGAAAGGTCATACCATGACTTTCCAAAAACTTGATTGCTGTTGTGAGGCCACTGCTCGTCAAGCTGGTTGACTCATGATTTGGGATTGTTTGGCATTGCAAGTTGCACTTTATGCTCAGCGTTGTACTTGGCTGCCTTTCAAAGCATGGATATGTATTGATGTTGGGGGCATCAGTGATTTTGATGATGAAGTGATCTGAACTGCATTGCTTTGGAAGCGCCGCAAGTCCGATGCGGTAAAAGCAGCATCTGTCTGGGCAGAGCTAAAGCACCGAAGAGAAGGAGATCATGCCTCAGCTGGTCCGAGACAGTCCTTGAGCCAAAGTGCTCCTTCTTGGCATCTCATGTCGCCTGACCTGTCGTCGTCCTTGTCGCAGCTTTGTTTGAGTTGTACATAGCTCTGTTCTCGGTTGGTGGGGGTGCTGCAGGGGCAAACCTTGCAAAGCTCGCTCAAGACCTGAGCTGTTCTTTCTCAGGCACTTTGGAGGCTGAGGTCATAGTCGATTTTCCCTTTGCCAGTCTGGCAAGTTTCTGTCGTTTTGATCCGGCTATATACTTGTCGGTGACCAAAAACTTGCTTTACGCGGTTGGCAGGGATGGTTGTGAGCCCCTACCCAGGGAACTCAGACACCATGACAAGAAGACCTATGAGGGAAAAATGGTCATGGCCGGCAGAGCTTTGACCATGGCACAGTTGACCCTTCAATCTCATGGCGTTTTGCAGGCAGCATGCTTCAACGGCAACCCCAATAATCTTCTTTCGGCTTCGCTTTGGCAACTTGACATCCGAGCACAAAGGCGTTTTAAAGCACCCCTGTGCACAAACACGAGGCATCGCCAGAAGCGCGCGGTCCCCGCATGGGCGCTCAAGGCAGGAGTTGCTTTCGTCACGCGCCCTTAGTGCCAACGTGGGCTTGCCCCGTTGTGGGAATCACCAGAAATTGTTTGGCTGAACAAGGTGGGCGTGTTTTAAAAGGCGTCCCCCGCAATTGTGTTTCGGCCTTCCGTTTGTTTTCCATTTGAAGCAGCCAAGAAGTGGGTACCTCGTCAGAAGAACATGTTGTTCAATTTAGTCCAGGACACTACCTGCCTGATGTTGCTTGAGAGTTCGCATGTGAAGCCCTACTTGGGTGCTGACAACTTACTTACTTGGCCGAACATCTGAGTAGGTTATAACCATGCTCATGTACACGTATCATAGTAAGGGGGTGCTTGTTTTTTTGCTGTCAACTGAGTATGATGGAGATTCTAATGAGAATAGTCAACGTCTGAGCTTCCACATGGGGTTCCAAAAGGTGCCGGTCGTTTTCGCACCATGTGAAATCGTGGTGTTCTTTGTTCGTGAGACGGCTAGGGTTGGTGTTCCATTTGTTGCAGCATCGTTATCCTGCGGAAGCCCGGTGTCTTGCGCCAGGCCGGTCGCTCCGGGAGCATGGAAGGCATCGGGTTCATGGGGGACGGGGCGGAACAGCAGCGATTTGAGTGCAGGGGTGGGTGTGTTCTTTGTTGGGGGAACCCCCCGAAATGGTGGATTTTCCTTTGGGTTTCCCTTTAAAACAGACAAAAAGGGGTTCCCTCAAAAATACAGACCAACAGCGGCGGCCTGGCTTCCTGACACGAGGATCAGGTCTGCATTGATGGTTGCTATAAAGTTGCTCAATGGAATGGAAGGGTTGTTCATGTATCTTTGAGATGTATAGAGCTGGATGGTGTTAAAGGACCTTAAAGGAGAATCAACAGCACACCAGTCGCCTGAAGGGCCTAACTTTGAAGCTTCGATTCTGGCAGACAGGCATGATCCAGCCAAGGTTTTTGATTAAAACACATGACAGCGCCCCGACTGTGTTTTGTCTAGGGTACCCCCCCCCCCATAATGGTGGTTTTGCAGTTGGCTTGCCTTTAAACCACAAAAAACAAGAGGTACACTCCAAAAATCACACCCATAAAATTCAAAGGCGTGTCAACTAAACTTAACACCTCTTCCAATTTCCAAATTTGAGCTTGTTGCAAAGACAACGCGTTTTACCACTATACCACATTGTCATGGTGTCCCTTAAAGGATACATCTAAAATCACCTGGTACCTGTAGAAACCCCTTGAAGCAACTGGTAAAGGTGGTTCTTGACTTGGCCAACATGTATCCTCCTTGGGACCCTGTGTCATAGCATCCTGTTTGGAAGAATCCAACTCACATGGCACGCTTCATCAAAGTCCGTCACATTGCACACAACAACCTGGGACAGACACGCACACCAAACCAAGTGAGACTCAGAACTATCAAGCACTTCCTGAGAAACAACCTGCACACTACGTAGTGTAAGCTTCCATGCCCACTCAATGTAGGTTTGTCTCCAGATAAGGGAACGCCTGAATTGGTTAGTTTCCTTTGGTTTCCCTTCGACACAGACCAAAAGGGGGTTGGTTCCCAAGAGTACAACACACAGACGGTAAATTCTGCTGACCGGTTTGCTTGCTTGCTCACCCAAACCAAAAGGGGGTGTGGGGAAACGTTTGTCGGACGCGCTATCCGGGCAAAGTATGTTCAACCTCACATGGGGATTTGCGACCTGTGGGGGTTCTTTTCCGAAGGAACCCCTACTTGAGATTGGTGAGTTAGCCTAACTCGCCAAGATACTTCCCTGCGTAAACATGCCACGTTAATTTATCAGAGTACATGGTCCAGCATTCAACCGCCTACGATTCGAGTCCTCCTTGCACGCCTTCCAGGTCCTTTCACTCAGCACGGCAAAGACCCGCGAGCAAGGTGCCCAGCTGAAGACGCATGCCATGAGAGCCCGATTCGTGTGGTGATACTGTGGCTGGTTGCGAAATCCATTTCGCACCGCCTAAGAAATTCGGGATGATTCCCCACGCAAATACCAACAAACAATGGCTTTTCATGGTTTCTAAGTGGTGCAGGATTTCATCCACAGTAGTAATTTGTGTCTTGGTGTTAAGTTTGGTGGAAAAGGCGAACACCAATCTCCCGCTTGATAACCAGACTATAAACAACATGGCCGGGCATCCAATTGGGTGGTGATTTGAAGGACAAGCTGCCACTTCCAACATGTGCTGCCTGCTTCTGTGTCTAATCAAGATTTCTGTTTCGCAACGTGCTCGACCTTATTGTGGGGGGGCGGTGTGAAGCGAACTTTCCTCCTTCTGGGGTCTTTTTGGGGGGCGGTTGCGATTCCTTCCGGTGGGAACAAAACCAGGAAGGTGCTTCTTACCTTGGAAACGCCCATGGACACCTGTCCGTTCTTTTCCGCGCCTTTCTTTGGACGGGCCACCTGGTTGATTTGTTTCAGGGAAGCCAACGAAACCGGAAACGGATTCTCCGGGGCCCAGGGGGGCCCGTTTTTGGGGAAACGCTCGAAGAAACACGTTTAAACAATTTCAGGAGAGACTCCTGGAAATCAACCACCTGGTTTCTGTCAATGTTTGAGAAAAGTCCTGGATATTTTCCTGGAGTTTGTTTCTTAGACCCACCCCCTGAGCCGGTCAAACCGCGGCTAGTTGTTTTCCCCCCCGAGGTCAACATCAACTTCACCCCGCGGCCGCGTGCGCCTGCGCCTTCGCCTCAGATGTGGCAGGCAGACCGTACCTTGGAAAAGTGACAAAACAGATCAGTAGTTCAGGGAACAAGGTGGTTTTGTGTGTCATTTGATGTAGTATTGTAAAGAAAATTGGAGTTAAATATGGGGAGGTGGCAAAGCCTAATGTGAAGGAATACTAAGGTGGTTTAGATTGGTGGTTTGGGGGTTTGAACCTCTGGTTCTAGAGGCAAGCCTCCAAACCAGCAAATTCCAGGGAAACTGATTAGTCCGCATTTTCCCATTCATGTGGTCCAGGGCACGGGGAGCCAGTCTTCACAAAAGCAAAGAGAAATCGCCGATAAATCCACCGTCTTGAAGCCCATGTTCAGTCGCATGCGGAGAAAAACAGACTTGTTCAGCACTGAAAAGTAAGCATTCAGCGGCTCCAGTTTGGGAACTGCTCCGATTTCTGCGCTGCTTTTGTGTCAGGAAGCCAGCGGTGAGTGAGCCGGGGGCCCTGGTGGTTCAGAGAGAAAGAGCAGCCAAGAGGCACGCCTGTAGACATCAGACTTTGGGGCGTATGGGGTGAGGATGTCGTGTACTTTTCAAGACAGGGTCGGCTTCTTGTGTTGCTCTATTGGGAGGGGCGCCATGGCCGTAAGTCGCCGCAAGTAACCACCACCTTTGCTCATAGATCTTGAATCCCTCTTATCGCAGGCTAAAACGAGAAATCTTGCCTGTTCAGTTTCCAACAAAATGGACAGTCGGTATTTACACATCTTCATTGTTTAGTAAATACCCAACAAGTTCAAGCTTGTGCTCGAGTATTTGCCACTCATTCCTTCAAAGGATTTGCTGCATTTGGCAGCGCAGCGAGTTCCGCCCCACGTTTGATCCCTGGCTGAAGGCCGTTCCTGGTGCTCCTTGCAACCAGGTTTCAGCGCACATGGAGCGAGGCCAAGCAGTTTGAGTCTAGGCCTTCACAATGAAGGCACGCCAGGCAGGCAAGGGAAGGCCACGGTGCCTCCTACTGTGGCGCATTTGATTTTAGCCGAACTTTGATCGGTTGGAGTTTGCAACTCATGGCCGATGATCAATCCCGAGCTAGTAGCTCAAGTCGCATTCGGTAGTCGGCACCCCCATCTTTGAGCTATTTGCTATGGGACACCATATTGCTCGACTTACTTTGCTGCTAGGTTCCTGGCACGTCTTTCTTTGGTGCTGTCGAACTGCTTTCACGGGGCCGTCTAGGGCGGAAAGCAGAAGCTCCAGCGCTTGCACACTGTGTAGGGTTCGCGAGCGGCGCAAAACAGCCAGAGGAAAGGGCTTGGACAAGCAGTTGAACCCTCAGCAGATCACTCTCCGGATCACCCAGGCTGCTTCTGCTTCAGAGGTTCTGGGAGTTGTGAGGGAGCAACAAAGGAACCCGAAGCTGGATTTCATTGCTGTGTCCGCAGCCTGGCACAAGATGGCAAACCTGCAGCACAGTGTTTCAGCCGAGGTTCTAAGGGACTCCTTCTTGATGGAGTTTGTTGGCTTGACAGGACAGATGGCAGTGAGGGCGCAGGCAGAGGCAAACAGGAATGCACGTGCTGTTGCCAGCATTTATTGGGCAGTGGTGCAGCTTGAGCCGTACATGTCTTCCCAACTGAAAAGTTTGCAGGCAAGCTTGGGCGCTGCAGCCAAGAAGACAGCAGCGCACATGAAGGCGCAGGAAGTGGCAAACACGATTTGGGCTGCGGCCAAACTGTCAGAGACAGGCGATATTTCCTTGCTTGTTGCGCTGCCAAGCCTTGTGGAGAGGGTGAAGGAGGTAAAGTCGGAGATGAAGGCACAAGAAGTTTCAAACGTTATTTGGGCTGCGGCGAAGTTGTCCGAGGTGGAAGCAGATGACTCCTTGCTTGCTGTTCTTCCCGCCTTGGCTGAGAGAGTGCAGGAGGTGATCTTGGCTATGAAGGCACAGGAAGTATCAAACAGCATTTGGGCCACTGCAAAGCTGCGGGAGTCAGGAGATGACTCATTGCTTTTGGTTCTTCCGGTTTTGGTAGAGAGGGCCAAATCAGTAAGGCCTCAGATGATTCCGCAGCATATCACCATGACGAGGTGGGCTGTGGAGGTGTTCTCTCACGATGCCCGGCTTGCGGATACAGTTCAGACTCTGCGGATGCTTTTGCCGCAGTCCGGGTGAGCCCTAGAGCTCCATAAACCTTGCCAAGCCACTAGGTGACTTAGGGTTGATGAAGGCTTGGCGGCGACTGCCCTGCTGGTCAAGCAGCTGCGAGTCGGACGTACCGAATGCGCGTCAGGGGTTTCCATCAACACTGGAGTTGGAGTCTTTGTTGAGTGTGACCAGCCTCCTCGTGCAGGTCCCAAAATTTGGACGGGTATTTCAAACCTTTTTGAAAGGAATTCGGAAGACAAAGTCGCCTTCCTTTCGCTTCAGATAGAAGCGGGTGGTCTAAGTCCCTGCGGGCATACTATGAGGTTCGTTCAAGATTTCCAGAAGTCACATGACCCATTTGGGAGGCACATGGGGAACTCGAAAAAACACATTCCCGCCGAATCAGGGGGCGCCCCAATGTAGCCCATTTTGAGCGTGGGCTTTCTGTCCATCTGAGGCCGCCCGCGCCAGGCAGGAGGGGGTGTCTGGAAGTGACTCGGTGCGACATGGGATGTATGCAAAATGTGATCTTTCTGGTGGTGCTGAAGTCGACAAGGAATGGGGGAAGTTATTGTGTTTGCTATGGGCTACTCTCTGAGACTCGAATGGTGCGGTCTGAGGAAAGGGGCGGAGTCCTGATTGCCTGATTGCTTCTCTATAGGGGTAAGCGAGCATTTGTTTTACATGTGTTCATCTATTTTTTTCAAGCATGGTGATTGTAACTCAACAAATCAAAGGGCACGTTTCAGGTCTGAGGAGCAGCAAAGCATGGTTTGACTGTTGGGTATTTTTTTGGTGGGGACCCTGACATAGACGCACACAGACCTGGACATGAAAGAGTTTCGTTCGCGTTCATTTGAGTTTGTAGTATTTTATTTGGCATTAGGGACCATGAGATTGACAAACAAAAGTCTTAACACGTGTTTCGTTTCCCTTTGTTTGATCGCATGGTAGTTGATATAGAGATGAACACCCTATAGACAAGCTGTGTTCTGTTCTTTGATTGATTGGTAGCCGATCTGGTGACCTAGAAGCAAGCTTTTTTCTGTGTGATCGCTTGGTAGTTGGTTTGGCGGCCTGGATAAGACGCAAAATAAGCGCCTCGCTTCGATTTGTTCAATTGTTGGCTGGTTGATTTGGTGTCCCTGACAAACACGAACACACACACACACATACAGAGTGGGGCCTTCGAGGGGTCGGCGGAGCAAGCTCTTCTTGTTTCTGCACGTCGCCGACTTAGACCAAGGCGCACAATTGACCGGACTGGCCAGACACGTGCGAGTTGGCCACATACGACATGCTTGCAATACCGGTCACGCGAGAGTTGGGTGGTCAAAAATAGGTACCAAAACAATGGAACCCTGGTAAAGGGAAGCACTAACACCTGCGGTCCCCTTCTGGTTTTTTTTTGGGCCACACCCAGTTCAGGTCTGATATAAGTACCCTGACAGCAAAGGGATGCTTGTCCGTCTTTTTTGGTGGCTCTTGCAGAGGATTTTCCGCTTGGCCTCCGTTTTGGTGGAAAGTGATCACAGCAAGCCTCTTGACAGCAAGGTGGGGCGTACCATACACCACAAAGTGAACATGGGTGTGTCGCTTTTTGATGCAACCCTCCAAAATGGTGGTGTTCCTTTTGGCTTCCCTTTAAATCGACCAAACAAGGGGAGGGGTATGGGGGAATTTCACATCTCCATCATGCAGGACCGGCGCCGGTCTTCCGGTCGGTGAGGCGGGCGACAGGAATCTCCACAATCGGCGGTTTTCCTTTTGGCTCCCTTTGAAAACAACCCCGATTTTGGGGTACCCTCACCAAAAACACACGCCCAAATGGTTGGCTTCATGTGGTTTGTGTCCAAACCATTCCCAAAATGGCCCCAGTGTTTTTACAAGCCAGCCATGTTTACCCAGTGCGGTCGCAAGATGTCGCAAGGTGCAGTTCCGCGTGTCGAAAGAAATCGCAGGCGATTCTGCGGCCTGCGTTTGGCGGCCATCAGGTTTTCTAATTCACATTAAACCTCCAGTGGTTTTCTTCTTTTGAACCCAAACCTCCAGTGTTTTTTTTGTTTGCAACCTTTTTTCCGAGGGGATTCCCTCAAAGGTCCCTTCATGTGCTTGTTTTTGGACCTCCCAAAATGGCGATCGTTGCATACAACCTTACCAAAAGACTCAGGAACCTGCAAGTTTGGTATGACTTTTTTAGAGGAAAACCAGGGACTGTTGTCCCTGCAACATCAACCAACGCACTGAGTGCAGCCCTTTTGTCCCGGCCACTGATACGCTGAGCTGGTGAATCGATTCGGATGGCTATTCGAAAGGCGAGAGTACCTGCTTTGGGATTTAAAGGGAAGCTAAAAGCATCAACCTATTTTGGGATCAGTTCCCCAACCTTTATCATCTAAATTTGGGGTTCCCGATTTTAAGACGCGCTCAGACGTAAGTGAGGTGTGAACCCCCTCTGACATGGCTCTTCATGCAACCGAGGATGCCTTTGATTAGCACGGCCTGCAGTATTCCGAAGTTACGTGACTTGTACATGTGCTGATATAGAGCCGAGGGCTTAAGAAACCACATGCGCGGGGTACGTGGGGGGATGCCTCCGGATTGCAATGCTGACCTTTTGGATGCCAGCGAGTGGAGATCAACCGACAAGAACGATCAAGATTCGCCATTTACAATATGGTGCAGGAGATGATGTGGCCACCAAGAACCGTTGCAAACTGTCAACGTTTAGTGGGGTTACTCGCCACCCTAGGCATGATTGGATCCTCCATTGGAGGGGTTTGGATTTCTTTTGGCTATTGTTGACCTCCAACATACCCAGATTTACGTTTTCAATCACGGCTGTCTTGGTCCTTCAACTTGGAGGAGTGTCTACTGCCTGGCTCCAAAAGGCCCTTTTTGAGGTGTTGAAGGCGTGCGAAAGACCAGCGCAAAGTTTCTCTTCGGAGGCCCAAAGACAAGCCGCCACAGCGCGAGGCGCTGGACAAAAAGCATGCGAGATGGGGAAGAGGGAGGGATGCAGCGGAAGTATTCCCGTTGTGTGTTTTGAAATGGGAAAGAAGTCACAGCCTTTCCTCCATTGGTAGGCTAGAAACGATAAGGACATGTTGGGCCATTGGAGAGATGACATGTGCTCCATTGACCGCTTGCCAGAAAAAGAGCATGCCCCTTCCAGCCAGTCAGTCATCATTCACAAATTTGCCCACATTGGATGTAGCGGTGATTCGGAATTCTAGTGCAGCGCTTTTGGTTTGAATACGCCCATTTTTACACAGTCGTGTGGTTGGCGTGTGCCGAGAGTTCTGGCTGCATGCAGCGACATGTTGATGTTGGGGTGATGCAGTGCATCCAGATCACTTGTCAAGTAGAGCCGCAGAGTGCGAAGAAGCAACTGGGAGGGTTTCGCTTGGACTGGGGCAGAAAGGCGCAAAGTTGAGCACTGGCGTTGGAGCGCTTGGAAGGCTGATACAGATGAGGAGCAGAAGAAGAGGAACATGGACTTGCTGAAGAAGGAAAAGGCGCGGGTATTGAGCTCATCAATTGTTGCCAAGCGGCACAGATGATTTGACATGTCCTGGTGAGAACGCCTGGTCGAGTGGGATTAGTTTGACGAGCCTTGCAAAGATTTCTATTGAACAAACTATCGCCTTGGCCTTTAGACTGCGTTTTGAAAAAAAATTCAAAGGTCTCATATGGCTATGAATTTCAATAGGGAACCCCTCCAAAGTGGGTTGGTGGACATGGATCCCCACCTAAATGATGTCCACCAAAGGGTCCCTAATTAAACTTCAGACCCATATGGAAATATCAGCCACTCTCCATTGCCCCAAATCGCTGCCTGGCTGAGAAGCCTCAGATTCACGGTCGTGGCACGCTGCCTTCCATAGTGGCTCCAGTTGATATGGGGTATGTCTGTCTACAAGAGGGTACCCTTCTTACCTTGGCTTACAAAAAGCCAAATGGAACTCCACCACTAGTTTGATACATACCCCGCATCACTGAAATAGATGCATTCGTGGAAGTGGACGCCACGTGCCACTATTTGCTAGGACCCCTGCTACCATGTTGCAAGATGCCAAATCGAAGGCAACCCGATGCATTACTGCGGCCTCGCCGACCTTTAATGCGCCCGTCCTTTCAATTTTGGGGACACCTCGAACTGCCAAGGCTCTTCTTTTGCTGGTCTTTTTGTGCCGACTCAGTGAGTGCTTTTCTTGCTGTTTCACAGGCTGAGCCAAAGAGCTGGCCTTACTTGTTTTTTTGGAAATAATCAAATTGAGGCCGGACGGTACTGCTAAGGACCCGTGCCCGCATCATGTTGTGCCGCCCTTTGACAAGGTCGAGATCTGAGATGGGGCCCCAAAGGGCTACTTCATCCCCCATTTGTCTTATGCCGCGTGCTCCGGAATTGTGCCACTCTACGCATCATTGGACACTCCATTGCAAAGGTCTGGATTTCCAGTGGAAGGTTTCTTTCTCTCAACAAGAGAGGACTGTTTTGGGGTGCCAAGGTTCTTGGGTCCAACCCTCCAACATACCGAAATGAGCATTGCCCGGACACCTGAAAGGAATCTTCACTTGTTTCCCACCTGGCAGGAGCGTGCCAGAGCGCAGGCTGAGTGGCTGTGGCAGACCCAGGCACGAAGAAATCAGTTTGGAAAACCGAAATCGTAATATGGCTGTGGCTCAAAAATGCGTAACCCCAACATGGCGCCTTGGTAAATGGAAACAAAGACTAAGACCTGCGGTTGGCCTCAGCTCATTGCGAGCCATACCCACATGATGTGGTGTTGAACGAAACGGGGAAGACAACTCAGCTGCCGGTTGTGCAGAGAGTGAGCCTTTGGGCCCCTTTTACACCCACACTCAAGGCACACACTGGCACACAGACACACACAGGCGCACACCGACACACACACACACACACACATGCACAGACACACACGCACAGAGACACACACACAGACACAAAAACAATCAAGCAAGCAAACAATCAAGCAAGCAACAGACAAACAAATAGAAAGTCAATCAATCAATCAAACAATCAATCAATCAAGCAAGCAATCAATCAATCAATCAATCAATCAATCAAACAATCAAACAAGCAAACAAACAAACAAAGCACAAACAAGCAAAATACACAACCAGGCAAGCAAGCAAGCAAGCAAGCAAGCAAGCAAGCAAGCAAGCAAGCAAGCAAGCAAGCAAGCAAGCAAGCAAGCAAGCAAGCAAGC